TTCTGCTTTAATATTAAGTAAAAATTTAAACTTCAAATTTAAACTTTAACATGTTACAAATTTGCCTGTGTACAAATCAAGGGTCAAACTCCAGGGCTGAAAAATGAAGACACGGTGTAAGTCTGAACATTTGCATTTCCTTAGGTGGACACTAGAGGCTAACTCAACAAATGACTTAATTCCCCCAAAATCTTATGTTAAAACACCCCAATTTATAGGAAAAGTCTTAACAATAGACCTACTGCTGCTTTGAGTGACAGGTGGATATGCTAGCTGTTTCCTGGAACTGGACCTCTCAATCAATGGTGCCTTTTGAATGTTTTGATGTAAATATCTAAAAAATAACTTGGATGTACAGTCACCAACCAACTCTAGAGTTTACACATAGTCCAAAAAAGAGAAAATATTCAATGAGTGGAAGTTGGAAGTGTTTTGTTGATCAGGGTCACAGATAGGCTGAAACCTATCCCAGCTGTCGCAAGTCAAGAGATGCTCTATGCACTCTCTGTACAGCTCAGCAGGGCTAACACAAAGATAACCACTAAAACACACACTTACACCAATTATCCTAACCCAATCCATGTCTTTGGATGCACTGTTCCAAAAAATAGTAATGTCAAAGTATCTTACTGTATATTTTACAGTTTTGTACTGTCTTTCTAGAATATCAATAAGTAGACTGTGATTTTACATGTCGAAGGTAACATAACATCACTGTAAATATAGTAAAACACAATTTACTTGTTTTTTAAATATATTTTTTTGTACATATGCATATTTAGATTGTAAAAATACATTCAGAAATGTATCATAATTTCACAAATATTTGTCTGTTATGTGAGAGAAGGATCTGTTAAATCCAAATGTAATACTATGGAAAAATATATAAAATGGTTGAAAATTAATGAGAATAATCAATAATTAAAGGAGTATTTGAATCATAATTTTGCTGAAAATTTCATGTCATCTAGGTCTGATTCAATAATTCAGAGGTAACAAGCGAAAATATAATTAATAGGAATGAAAACTAAAAAAACCCATATAAAACATTGCACAGACACGCTGTGCTAATTATATATTTTTAAAAAATAAATGTAGAGGTAGGAATTGCAATTAATATAAATCTCAAAGTATTCACAACATTCCTGAACAGAAATAGGCCTCTGCACCTGGGGTGAGGGTGTGGCCATGAAAACAATGTGACATGCCATTGGATGTTGGGACACATAATAACATGACGCTAAGCATCGGCCAGTGAATGTGAACTAACAACCACAAGGTCGCAGGTATGGCTGTACTGTAGGAAAAAATCCTAATATAAAAATATTCTACTGTGCATTTTACAGTTTTGTTCTGTTCTTCTAGAATATCATTAAAGTTACGTAAATAGACTGTGATTAACGTTAAATCACTGTAATGTAATAAAAAAAATTTTCATGATTATTAAATGTATCTATCTGTACATATGCATTTTAGATTGTTAAAATACATTCACAAATGTATCATGATTTCACAAATATCTGTCCGTTATTTGAAAGATTGAACTGTTGAATTCAAATGTAATGCTATGGAAAAGTATATAACATGATTCCTATAAGCTTGTGTTACATCACATAAGTATTATTATCTTTGCTATTTAGGGCGATCGTGGCTCAAGAGCAGTTCCCCTTGTGATCAGAAGGTTGCCGGTTCGAGCCCCGGCTGTGACACTCTCGGTATTGTGTCCGTGGTCAAGCCTCTTCACCTACTGGTGATGGCCAGAGGGGCCGATGGTGCGATATGGCAGCCTCACCTCTGTCAGTCTGTCCCAGGGCATGCAATCCATTATTATTTAAACCAACTGTTAACTGTATATTTCTGTACATTTACGTATTATGATTCATATTGCCACATTCATTGACCTTTTTTATAGGTAATTTCATTGTTTGATCACGTTAAAATGTTCCTAATTTAATGTCTAAAAGCACTTGGAAAAGGCAGAATCCCATGTAAAATTAGCACAACAAACTATTTTCATTACTGAAAATAACCGTATTTTTATGGGACAGTTATTTTCTGTTATTTTACGGTCGTATTTTGGCGCCCCAGCTGCCGGAATATTACCGTTTTTTTAAGATGTTTTTTTTAACAGTGTGGTGGAATAAAGTTGGAGTACCCGGAGAGAACCTGTAAGCTACAGAAAGGCCTCAGACTGGATTGAAAACTATGGACCTTTTTGCTGTGACGTGGCGATGCCGCCATAACTAAATATGCTGTAATGTATCTCTATTTATTCATTTCTATTCATCTCCTAGTTTTTTTTTAATGTGTTATTATTATTTCCTAAACAACCCGATGTTATTGGTCTGGTCCCTTAGGATGAGGATGATGTACACAAACTCCTTGAAGACAAAATTACGCTTAGTTAGCTTGCTGGCTAAAGCTGAAGATAATTTATCTGTTCTGGGGTTAAAATAATCTTGAGCGATATTATCCGTCTTTGCCAAAATGGAGAGCAAAACAGGTATAGCACCGGTTACTGGGTGGGGCAGGGCATTGTCAATGGTTGGTTGAATTAAATTACAAAGTAATAGTGTAGTCTACAGCCTATTTGGTTACAGTCAAACATCCACTGAGATCCTTTGGTGTCATTGCTGGCAATGC